TATGTAAACGACCTCTGTGTTCCGAGGCAAAGGCCAATGAGGCTGCATATGCAAATAACCTCTGTGTTCTGACTGTCTATTGGGGGGGGAGAGGAACAGCAAAATGTTTAGAATGTTGGAGGCAGGACTCAGGCAGAGCAGCCAGTGGATAGGGAGACCCTCTGAATGACAGATCAGAGAGTGAACTGATTTTGGAGCGTGTGGAATGTTCTAGATAAGTGCCACCACCATTTGGCTTTTATTTATAAGGGAGGTTTGATCGTGTATTTCGGATGCAGTAGCATGCTACCCAAAATTTTGCCACAGTTTCGGTAATTGTCCGGTTCCCATCAATTAACAATCAGTTACACTGCTCAGCACCTGATTGTCCCACCATATCTGTTATAAGAGGAGTAATATATTTGTCACAGATCTTGTTATACCAGTTACATCTGAGCATCATGTGCTCAATAGTTTCTATCTCTCCTGAGCCGCATCGACAAAGTCTATATTCAGTGGGGATCCTTTTGAATCTGCCCTCAAGCATCGCAGAGAGGAAAGCTTCACATTTGGCTAATGTGAAGGTTTTCCTAAACTTGTGAGTATCAAGCTGTGATAAATAGGACATGGGTTGCAAGCGATATTTGACAGAATCTGGGGCTCTAAACTTAGGACATCTACCGAGATCTGTCTGTCTCTCCATGTCCATCATTCTCTGTTTTAGGGCTGATTTTGCTACATCCCAATGCATACTCAAAATCGCTTGGGGGGAAAGGAGCAACCATTGGATGTGCTATATATAGCTGTAATCTGGCTCAGCTGCTTCCCTGGACTAGTACAGTTAAAGTGACAAGAACTTAAGAATTTTATAGACAAAAAGTCACATTGCAGACATGGTTTGATAAACACTCTGAAACAGGAATAATAAGTGTGTTACCAATAGCTATTGTATGAATATGTGTACCAAACATCCCCGAGTACAGCAATAACAAAATCCTGTAACAAGGCTTCCGATTAAATTAAAAAGAAAGTGGTCATCACATTTCTAATTTGGCTTTAATTTGAAACATGAATATCAAGAGTTCTTCCTGTTGTGAAAGTAAAATCTCCAGATCTCACCGTTTCAAGTGAGTACACTGAACCAGTTCGAATGCAAAAACATCTCATGTCTGTTGGTATGTGCTTACATTGCAAGGGATGTTCACTGAGTAAAATTTCTACAGAACCAGTACAGAGTTTGATCTTATGGCTATTAGTCCACTCTGGGCTTGCAGCCCCAGGAATTAACTTTCTTAGGGTTGTAAGGGACGACTATGCGAGAGGTGGAAGAAGCAAAACCCAGCACTCCTTGTGCCCTGAGACTGGCCTGTTTGGGCTGCCTCTGGCTGTAATTCAGCATGCTGTCGCTTCCCAAACCTGCCTTTATATACAAGTGCAGTTCAGGTTGCTGAAAGGAAGGGAGGCTAGCTAACAGGTTTTGATTAAGACCAGGGCTATTTTTGGGCAGGAACGCACAGGAACGGAGTTCTGGCTGGCTCCCCAGTTGGCCACGCCCAGCAGGAACTCATTAGCATAACAGGCCACACCCAACAGCAGAAACTCATTAGGATTGGCTACATTAGGGGTGTGTGGCCTAACATGCAAAGGAGTTCCTGCTTCAAAAAAAGGCCCTGGGTTTTGACCACAAACAAGGTAAACAGAATAAGAAGCAAAAGGTGGGTGTGGCTGGATAACCACACTTCTGGTAACATGGGGGTGCGGCCTAATGTGCTAATGAGCTGTGCTGTCAGGGGTGTGGCCTAATATGCTAATGAGGTTCTGCTGTTGGGTGTGGCTTATTATGCTAATGTGTTCCTGCTGGGCTTTTTCTACAAAAAGACCATAGATACTACAGTTTTAATGGCATCACTTATCAAATACATAGTGGGAATATGTCTGTGAAAACTGGTGTCATTCTAGTCAATGGAGAGCTTTGTGGAAGCAGATGCTTAAACATTTTATGAAAAGAGGGCTAATAAATTTTTAAATGACAGTATAAAAGTATTATAGTATGTAACTGGAAGATCATGTTAACTAGCTATATAGGTTCTATTATACAGTATACTTTGATGTTGACATGAGGAAATTAATTTTTTCATTGGAGCTCTGAAATAAACTACCCTTGTTGCAACTATCTTGTGTCTCCAAAATAATACTACAAATTTGAGCTAAATGTATAGGACATTAGTTAAACAGTTAAGGGAATTATTTACATTGATAAGTGTTTCTGTGCTCCCCCTGCCAATATCTTTGTTCCTTTCACAGGAATTGATTTGGAGAATATTGTCTACTACAAGGACAACACTCACTATTTTGTGATGACTGCAAAAAAGCAGAGTCTTCTTGAAAAGGGAGTGATTATTAATGTATGTACCTACACTATCTTAGTCATAATGTGTAAATGCAATTAAATAGTAAAAAGTTACTTTGGTGTCAAATTTCTTTTGTACAGCCTCTGTTGGCTTGAATAAGGAATGTATTCTATAAACACCATCGGTGACTTATGAATAAGAAACTGAATGAACCATTTCTGCCCATTCCCAAAGCTGGCCAAGTGCCCCCTTGGATATATCGCGACAGTTTAGACACCTAATAGTATCCATCCTGACTATTTCATGGTCTACAAAATGAACACTTGCCATATGTATCTAATGAAGATCTTCAGAGTGGCTGATTTTTTTTAACTTATAAATCTTGGAAAGGTAACCTACAAATATAGTTCAGGAAACAGAAGGTGGCTGGTGTCCTACAGTTCAATTCAGTTGAACCACCTGGAGTACATGCTCTCTCAGGATCTGATGCAGAGCGCTGGGTCTGCTGCCTTTGTAAGAATGCTTCTTTATCTCCATCTATGTTCTACTCTTGTACATTTGTAAATAAAACAAATAACTACAAGAACTTCATGGTGCTCTCTGTTCCAAAGGGGGAAAGATCCAGATGGACATTACCTCTGGAACTTTTTGATGCTTGGGGAAGGGAAGAGTACATAACGATAGTATATTGGTGTACTCCTATGATGTCTGAAAGTGCCCTTTTGCCTTCATGTACATGTACTAGTTGCCCTGGCTTCCTCTGGGATGTACATGATAAGTATTGCACTAACCTTGTGTTATATATTGAACGCCCGTGTGGCAAAGAGGCATGTCTGATTGGTGTAGTGCCATATTGCTTACCAAAAAAAAAGGGGTATGGACTTCATGTTTTGTGGCAGAAAAGAAAGGCTTAACTTTAATTTCTCTCACACACAAAAAATTGCTTATTTATTTATATCCAATGGAGACCCAAAGCAGCTTATGCATTTCTCCTCACAATCATTTTATCCTCACAACAAACCTGTGAGGTAGGTTAAGCTGGATGTACCCAGCAAGTTCCCATAGCCAAGTGGGGATTCAAACCATATCCTAGATCTTAGTCCAACACTCTGATTTGCCTCTTAGATATTTGCTGTTTCTAAATGTGATAAAATTTACTGAACTGCTTAAAATACGTGTTACATCAAACTTTAAAAGTTTAAGGCAGAACATAACCTGCATCAGCTTCTAACCGCGAGCTGTAGTGCTTCCTGTGTGGAATAATATAGTCTGATTTTAAGTAAGAATCATAGAAAGATCTTGTGTCCTTTTTAAGAACACATTTGCTTTCCTCTTTAGGATTACATTGATACTGAAATGCTCCTCTGTGCGGAAAATGTACACCAAGATAATCTACTGTCCTATGCAAGAGAAGCTGCTGATTTTGCAACGGATTACCAACTGCCTGCCTTGGATTTTGCAATTAATCATTACGGACAACCAGATGTGGCAATGTTTGATTTTACTTCCATGTATGCTTCTGAAAATGCTGCATTAATACGAGAGAGGCACAGACATCAACTGTTGGTTGCTCTTGTCGGGGACAGTTTACTAGAGGTAGTGTGTCCATGTGTATTTTCTAAAACATAGATGGGATACTGAAGAATTTTTAACCATCATATATGCAAAGCTAACTTTTGCAACCATGAGGGCTGGAAAGTTGCTATTTAATTCAAAATTAGGAACATTACTATCCGAAGTAGATGGAGCACTGGATGTTGAACATCACCTGACCAAAAAGCAGCATAATTCATATAACTGACGAAATTAGAATGTAATATGTAATATCTAGTATATAAGCAAGGTGTCTGCAATTGTGAAACAAGCTTCTGTAGTTCTGCAATAGTATTAAATGCCTAAAATGTAATTATTATTTAACAGCCATTCTGGCCAATGGGTACTGGTTGTGCAAGAGGGTTCCTGGCTGCATTTGACACAGCGTGGATGGTGAGAACCTGGGCACAAGGAAAGCTCCCACTTGACATCCTTGCAGAAAGGTAGGCATATCCCTCCGCCTCTTCTTGTCTTCAAGTGAAATTTCTCAAACCATACTCTTATTGATCCAAAATACCTCAGTCCATTTTGGCTATCCATCTTTATGCAACATGGTTATGGGCAAGTCTGGACCACATCAGAATACCTGTGGTTGATTTCGTACTACTTGAAAAACCAGTCTGCTTAATGACTCCAGAGAGTGATTGTATGTCCCCAAAGTATCCAGAGGAGTTTCTCATTGCAAATTTAAGAACTGCATATAGTGAAATTGTCCAGGGGTAAGTGGTGCAGGTGGGATTCCTCGCAAGATAGAAGTTTATCTTGATGTTGGTCTGGAAACCACTTTCATGCTATAAAATGTCCATACTTCTGTGTAGGATAGAATATGAATCTTTCCTGTAATCCAGGGGTCTCTTGTCCTTGTTGAGCCTGTGTGACCTATTGAAGTTTTGAGAACATGTATGGGCTGCCATTGGAGCACAGGGTCTAGGGTTCCTTGCAGACAGAATGGTGACGCCTCCTGAGACCTTCTGGAGCATGTCCTTGCCCACTGAGGATTGGCTGGGTGCTTTGCAGAACAAAGACGGGAGCACTGTGGTGCCGATGGGGGTGCCACTTTGACGTACTGCTGTCTGTTGCATCTGATAACAGCCCATGTAGTTTTTTTCTTTTTTTACTCTGCAATTGCTGCGGCGTATATGTATGTAACACAGAATATATTTCTGGGTGCACCACTTGGAAAAGAGGGGGTCGTCTTACACTTGCATACATGTCGCACGTATGTACTATATTGTTAAAATATGTGTGTAACATTTTGTGTGCTGGGAGTCATTGTGTATTCAGGGTTGTCTTCGTTTTGGTTACATCTCTCCCTTATTATAATTGAGTAGTGGGCACCAAAATTCTAAAATGCCCGCCTTTAGTGTTTGGCCGGAAGAACTGCCACTCAGAAGACACTGGCTGGGTTGACTGGCTGCTTTGTGCAGTCCCACCCAGCGTTCCAAGGTCATTTGCATATGGAAGCTGATTGGACTTCACTCCATTCCACACCTCAAACTCCCCCCCTCCCCCGCAAGGCAGTTGGGATTTTCAGTTGCATAACATACCTCATAGGGGAGAGGAGAATGATGTCAGCTGCCCTTTCCCTAGGCAGAGGCTGTGTGTGTGTGTGTGTGGGGGGGGTGTAAAACTTAAGACTGACAGGCAGATAAACATTGGCTGATAGTTGCCAGGAAAGGACATAGGGTTGCCAACTCCAGGTTGGAAACTTCCAGGATATTTTAGGGATGAAGCCTGCTGAGGGTGGGGTCTGAGGAGGAGGAGGAAGAGGGGGACCTCAGACAGATACAATGCCATGCTGCCCACACTCCAGACAAGCTGTTGCCAGTCTCCAGGTGACAGCTGGAGAGATCTTAAAGCTTTGGTGCTACTTCAAAGTTCCCCAGGAGCCCAAAACAGAGTAGTGTTTTGGAAAATCTTTAGGAATTGTTTGGTGCATTTACGATGGGGCTCCTGGGGAACTATTGTTGCCAATCTTGGCCCAGCAGCCATCAAACCATTCTCTTCAACCCCCTGCTGTGCAGCTGACTTTCCCCTAGGGTTGCCAATCTCCAGGTGGGACCTGGAGATCTCCCACTGCTACAATTGATTTCCAGATGACAGAGATCAGTTTCCCCTGGAGAAAATGGCTGCTTTGGAGGGTAGACCCTATGACATTATACCTGCTGAGTCCTTCTGCCCCCCCTCCAATGCTGCCCTCTACAGAATCCACCCCCCAAACCTCCAGGTATTTCCCTCCTTAGAGCTGGCAACCCTACATTCCCCTCAGTGCCTGTTGGTAGGCAACTAAGCTTGGTCCTGTCACCTACTTTGGCCTTTGGGAGAAAACACATTGGGGCCAGTCCTGATAGGGTTGCCAACTCCAGATGGGAAATTCCTGGAGATTTGAGGGATGGAGCCTGAAGAGGGTGAGGTTTGAGGAGGGGTGGGACCTCAGACAGGTACACTGCCATAGACTCCACCCTCCAAACCAGTCAGTCCCACATAGGGAACCATTGTTGCCAATCTCCAGGTGAGGGCTGGAGAGCACTCAGTATTACAACTGCTCTGCAGAAGGGAGGGCAGAAGTCAGCTGAAGTCAAAGGGGCAGATAATGGTAGGTTGGTGGCTAGCTGGGAAGGAGATGGGGTTGCCAACTACATGCTGACAAATTCCTGGGGATTTGAGGGGTGGAGCCTGGAGAGGGTGGGGTTTGCAGAGGGGTGGGACCTCAGACAGGTAGAATGCCATAGACTACACCCTCCAAACCAGCCACTTTGTCCTGGGTAACAATTGCTGCCAATCTCCAGGTGAGGGCTACAGATCACTCACAATTACAACTGCTCTTCAGGTAGCAGAGATCAGTTCCTCTGGAGAAAACAGTGGACTCTGTCATTATACCCTGCTGAGGTCACCACAGCAAATTAACACTGTTTGCCCAAAGCCAGAGCACTGCCCCAGAGCCTCTTTCTAGATCTCGTTGTATTGCTTTCACAACGGGCTTTACTGCTAGTAGTATTATATTACTGCTGGTTGTCAAACTTCAGAGTTTATGGATGTTAGAAGAGAAGACAGTATGGCAGTAGGCAGGGCTGTTTTTGTAGAAAAAGCCCAGCAGGAACTCATTAGCACAATAGGCCACACCCAACAGCAGAAACTCATTATCATATTAGGCCACACCCCTGACAGTACAGCACATTAGCATAATAGACCACACACCCCATGTTACCAGAAGTGTGGTTATCCAGCCACACCCACCTTTTGCTTCTTATTCTGTTTACGTTGTTTGTTGTCAAAATGGTTTTGACAAAACCAATAAAAACATTTTTTAAAAAGTTTCCAATTCCATACTTTTAATAATTAATATTATATTTATTTTAAAAGTAATATTAACAGTAACATAAGCAAACATCTCAATAAACACTCTGGAACTTGGAAAACTATACTGAAATGGTGAAATAAGTCTTTCAATCTAAGTTTAGATTTAAATTTAGTGCCATTAGGAAGTCCAACAGTGGGAGGGCTTCTAGTGTCCTGGCCCCACTGCTGGACCTCCTGATGGCAACTGGCATTTTTGCCCACTGTGTGACAGAGTGTTGGACTGGATGGGCCATTGGCCTGATCCAACATTGTCTTCTCTTATGTTCTTATATAAACTTCATACTTGAAATCAGCCTTTGAAATCTAGATTTGAAAACAAAAGCTTACCGCAATAACTGCAATTTAACTGTTTGCTCACCAGAACTATTACTCCACACCTTAATTCTTTTCCTTCATCATCCATCAGTAATTGTTGAAGCACAAAACAATTTTGAGTACAAGAACCAAAAAAAATCATATTTTTGCATCCCAAACCAGTCCCTCAGGATCCCAAGGGGCACAACCTCCTTATCAAGGTGAAAGGAAACCCTATTACAAGTTCACTATTTAACGTAAGATACTAGCACCTACAAACAAATATGGTAACTATTTTTTAAAAAACCGCAGGTGGGGGTCTCACATTAGATCATACATACAATAGAATCCCCGCACACAGAAAGCCTGACGTCAAGGAGAAAGGTTTCAGCCTTATTATCAACGTGCTAATTTTCTAGGGACAGCAATCTTTTCAGTGGGGAGAACGCTCTATTGTGCCCACTCCCCAGCAACCCAGGCGTGGTTTTACTACCTGCCAACTAGCCCTACATTAGCTTCTGGGACTGGAGGAACTATTTGATAAAACCTGTCAAACGGCTTCCTAACTTTTGGCTCAAGCTTTTTAAGCTCAGAAGCCCCATTTCCACGCAACTCAAGTCTAACCCACATTACTTAGAAGGAGCAACCTTTGTTCCACCTTGACTAGAATAGCTTAGTTTCTCACACACGTGCACACGCAACCCAGTTTGGTTCCAAAACCATATCTGCCATCGCAGGCAAACCAAACTTCCCCAACTGGACTCCACACTTCTTCCCCCCACATGGCAAAAAAGTTATGTATCATATGGGAGTATACTGTTTGGGAGTATATGCTCAGTGCCTACTCAGCAACACTTTTATTAGGATGCCATACAACCCAAGGCTGATCCTTGCAGTGGGGGGAAAGTTGCTACACAGGAGGACTAAGGGTAGTCCAGGATCCCTGGGCGAAGCTCCCTGGGCACTCAATACCTCCCCGTTCCCCTGTCCTCTGCTCGTGCGTTACCAAGGGGCTGGGCAGCACAAGCAACACACTCTGCACACGTCCAGAACTCTTGGGCTTCCCCAGAGAGGCACTCATCACGCCACATGTTCTCTGACAGAGCGAGCCCTGCTTCTCACTTACCAAGTACGACCACGCTGTGTGTCTCTCCACGGGCCAGGTCGGCTGAGTCCAGGAGGCGGAACCAGCCATTGGGGTAGACCGGGGGCAACTGGTCAGTAAGGGGGGGCTCTTGCATACTTATGAGCTACCTGCGCATGGCTCCAACCAGGCTCACCCAAGTAGCCTACTGCCTCCAATCTGTGCCAGAGACACAAGGACCGGCAGCAAGCCCACCATGCGGTGACTCCGAAGGCCAAAAGCAGCACCAGGAGTGGCAGCCCCCAGGACGCAGCGGGAAACAGCTGCTGCTGCTCACAAATGCTGCTGCGCTGCTTAGCCTCCCTCTCCCACACCTTCATCTCGCCCAGTTCCAAGAGCCAGCCCTGCCGTCAGGGAGGAAGCTTCTCGTTGCCCACTATGCCTCAATGGCCCTTGCCCACCTGCCCGCCTTCACCGGTCCACCTTGGTTGCCCTCGGTGCTAACAGTGTGACCTACTCATGGTTCCTGCATAGTGCTGGGCAAGGGGGGGGTCTCCGTGTAGCGCTTCTTGTGCATTTCCCCCAGTCTTTAGCCTGCAAGGTAGGCCAGTGCTGTATGGCCGACCGGAGGCAAGTGTGAGGTCGCTTCCTCACTTCCTTCCTGCCCAGCCAAGCCTGGAAGTGGGGCGGTCCCAGCTGGGGGTT